GTTTATATTTTGCGGCAGTTGGCAGAGTTTGGTAAGTCGTCGCTAGTTTGGAATTCTTTTTCCTGAACTTTAGATACTACCTATTTGTTTAAATAAGACCATTAAGGTCTCTGCTTTGCTTTTCTCCGGAAATCTGATCCGAAGTTGAGAATTTTTTTTTGTCAATTTACATGCTTCTCCAATGATTAGAACTCATACCTAATTTGTTCCTCAAGATAAAGGAAATAAAAGACATGGTTCCATTTTATGTGATGTGATGATGTTTTGTCATGGTATCACTTTAATTGTGTGTTGGGTTTGGTTGCTGAGATCTGAGAACATGGTTAAGGTTACCTCTTCTATATATCAGTTTCGTTTTTCATGTTTTTAGAAAATAATGTAATGAATAGTTGGAAAACATCTAACATTTTCATATCATTTTTATTTGTGAAAACAATTTAAAAAAATTTGAAAAGGTGTGTTTTCATAATTTTTTATTTTTTGAAAATAGTTTGCCATACAAGTTTAATATTGTGTTTTTCACAAATAAACATAGAGAACAAGAAATGTACCGAACAGTTTAAGTGCTTTGAGACTGACCAACTGATTCGATGAATTAATTGGTTGAGAATGTTTGGTGGACCTATTAGAGCATCTCCAACGGTAGTAGGCATTTTACCTATCTAAATATTACTATAAAGTATATATTTTATTTTGCCTATCAACTGTTTTATGTTTTTACTCCAACCATGCTCTTTATTTTAGCTATTAATCCAAATACTATTAATTTTATAGAATGCCATGTCAACAACAAAGATGGAGGGAAATGATCCTAATGATTGAATACATTTTGCCTAGCGTTGAAGGCTAGCTACATGTAGCTAGTGAATATGAGTTGAGCCAAAATGCCTAATCATATGCCTAGTGCGTTGGAATTGAAAAAAGTGAATCACACTAGGCATTTTAACTAACAAGTATTATATGCCTAGTGCATTGGAGATGCTCCCCTAATATATTTTCTTTTTATGGAAATCTTAAAGCAAATTAAGGAGCAAAATTCATGCTTAAATGGTGGGTGAATTTTTAAAATTCCGCACAAAATTGCTAACTTTAAAATTATCGTTTTCTTTGGGTATTAATCTAAAAATTATTAAATCAGTGTCATTAGAACCGTTTACGAGTCTAATTTGTTACATATTTGGCCTTGTGTTGATCGTTCGTGTATATTAAAAGAACTGTTAATTTCTTTAAAATGCTGCAAAAAGCGGTTTGTGTAGATATAATTAATTGTAAATAATTCATATGATAAGCAAATTGAGTGAAACCAATTGAGTTTGAAACTTAGAACATAGTAGTTGATATTTGGAGGGTTTTTGATTTTTTTCTGAGCGATGTAGTGTGGGTTTTTAATTTCTAAGTTAGCAAACAGTATAGGAAAACTTGTCTAAAACTCTATTTTACCTCAAAATGTCATTTAATTAAGTTTCGATCGCAACCTATGTCTTGGTTAATTTTGGACCATGAAGAACATGAACCTAGACATAATTTAAGAGTAACGTTGAGTTGGGTTGAGCCGTGTTGGTGCGCTTTAGCTTGGGGTTACCTAATTTATTGTTCTCTTTAGTATTTTTGAGGTAGTATAGTAAAATGTAGTTTTCATACTTGGTTCAGAGCACTAGTTGGACTTTTATATTCTATTCGAGGACTTTATTGTTTCTTCATCAGGTGAGTAATTTTATGCTACATATTTTTATAAATGTTTCCTTTCCGTAAAATTATTTGAAAAGTAAATTGTTGTTTCGTGACCAAACAACCTTTTCAAAATAAAAGGTGATCCAGATAATAGGAAATTTATTCCAACCTCATTCTTCCTAAATTTTCTATTCAACAATGATTCATCCCACTAAAAATATCACCACTAATAGCACTAATGCATTAAAAAAGTAAAAAAAAAAAAAATACAACTCCAAGACCAAAACATCACATCATTAATGACGGGACCCACTGCCACCTAATTAGTGGGAGCACTAATTAGTGCTCCTAAGCATTTTTCTTTTCTATTTCAACAAATAGGCTTTTAACAGAATTATAGATGGACAATGAGAGAGACCAGACCCATTTCTTTTTTCTTTGCTTCTCTCCTTACTGTTCAAAGAACAAGTCATTTTGTTAAGTGTATATAGACTTTCTTTGAGAAACAATATAGAAGTAGTGGTTGTGTAATGAGATACTATGTATAATAAGATCTTGCCTTGGGAGAGTCACATATTGTGCATTTATCTCTTGTTTTATTATTTTAGAAAATGGATTTATACTTTACCGACTCATTTCATATCATGGTTCAAGCGTTAAAAATTGGGTTAAATTATTATTATATTATTGAAACTGAGCTATTTCTAAAATCTGTGTAAACTTGGCATATTGTAAACTATTTGTTATGATCTCATGTTTATAATAGTGAATTATCATATTTTGCGAAACTGAATTGTATTCACTATGTTTGGCTCCATTTTTCTAAAAACAGTTTTCAGAAAATTCTACTTTCTTATTTTTCGTGTTTTTTTGTTTTTACTGAATTTTTAAAATATTTTATGCAATTTTTTTATTTTTTAGACACACCTAACATAAATACACCTAAAAAGTAAAAAAATTTGTAATTTTTTTTTAAAAAAATTCACTAAATATCATAAATACAAAAAAAAAAAATACAAGAATTCAGTACATTTTTTGTATTTTTATGTATTTCTTAATTTTTTAAAATATTTTTTCATATTTTTTTTTACTTTTTAAATACATCTAAGTAAGGTACATCTAAAAAAGTAAAAAAAAAATGTTTAAAATTTTAAAAATATTCACTAAAAACAAAAGAATAAGAAAACCAAAAAACTCAGTTTTCAAAAAATTTAATCCAGAAAACTCAAACCAAACACACTGATTGATTATTGGGACTATTTATATATAACATTTCAGGGAATTTATTCTACTGTGTGTGATGACTCTGATCACTAGAGAATAAATCTGGGTTGGGTGATGATAACTCTAGTGCTCAACGATTGTAAGGAACACACTTGGGCTAGGCTAGGTGACTTTCAATCGGATTGTCTTAGAGAAAAGACCTAGATTGCCACCCCGAGGATGACTCTTGTTTCGATATTAGATTCAACAGACTTATTGCCTCGAGAATTTTATGACATGTTACTTGAAATGCTTAGTACCCAGATAATGATAATAATTATACTATTGCCTATTTTTAAGTGGAGAACGCTCTTTGATATGTTCTTGAGAGACATGAATATTTTTAATTGATGAACTGTGAAATCTTCTTTTTAAATGAGATTGTCTTTTTCAAAATTGTATGCCAATCTAGTTTCTGTTATATACAATCTTATTTTGGAATTGAACCTTGCTTTCAAAATTGTATTTTATTATCCATACTTTTATTCACTGAGTTATCAGTTGACTTAGTTGTTAAACATTTCCAGGTGATAGAAAGATTTAGAGTGGACTCATGGCATAGTGGAGACTTAATTGCATAGACCTCTAGAACATTCATTTATTTTGTTTTAACTTGTTATATCGATTTTGTGTATACATTTTGGTGGAGTTTCATTTAGGATTATTTCTTTATGTGGGCTGTTTGTATCCTACTAAATATATGGATGGTATTGATTAAGGCTGATTTTGCCCGAGTTAGTCATCACTTATGACTAGGTCCTGTTTTGATTTATTTATGTTAAGGATCTACTATTGCATTTATTTTATATAGGTATGATTTCATGTTTAAGCTTACATATGCCTTGGACCAAAGCTATGTAGGCCACTAATGGTCATGCCCAAATTTGGGAGGGGTGATAGTTATGTATCATTTTGTATTTAGTTATGACAAATTTTTTAACTGTAACTCCAAAAATATAAAATTGTGCCATTTATTTTTTCAGTTATAAGGTGCACCACAACATTTCTCTTAAACTATAGAAAGTGTGTATATATATGTGTGTGTATTTTTTGTTTTTATCTTTTATCATTGTTTTAATTTATTTTATAACTAAATAATATAAATATTAATATTTTTTAAATGGACAAGTTGGGTTAAGCTAGACTAAAACTCTTTATTTGAAACCAAACTTGGAAATTAAGGTGAAGTTTGGCATCTACTAAGAGGTTATTTGGGATGTCTTAAATAAGTGTACTTTTTGTTTTTTTAGATTAAAAAATTGAGATTGAAAATATGGATGTTTGGGTTAGCTTTTTGACTTTTTATGAAAAAATGTGTAATAAAAAATTGTAAAAATTGATTAATTATAGAATGAAACATCAGATCATTTACATCATTCACATCATGTTGATGTAAAAATGGGACTAAATGGAGCATAAGAAAACTTTTAGGACTAAATGGTTCAACGTTTCAAAAACTAGGACTTATGGGTAAATTTTCCTAAAAAAAAAAACAAATCTAAACAAAATATCATATCAAATTCCATAATTATTTTACTTTTTCTCTTATAAACATCACATTCAATCATAAAAAAACTAAATTATCTTTTCAAACACAATTTTTTTTTTCTAATAATATTCTATAATTAAATATTTTAAAAAAAAACCTACTTCCCAATTGGACTTGGCGGCTTGGGCGGGCATTGGCCGATTGTCACGAGCCAAGGTTCTCTCCTTACAGTCTCGTACTTGTGCTCATCCTTGCAGGCCTTCGGGTCTATTTTTAGGCCCAATTTTAATAATTCGAACCGTTCATATTTTATGATTTATTCAATATATCATACTTGTAAAAAATTAAGTTGATCGGATATCAGAAAGTATATGTTCGGAAAACTATTTATTAAATTCTTTAAAAAATAGTTTTTAGTTCAATTTTTCGAACACATACTTTCTGATATCCGATCAACTTGATTTTTTACAGGTATGATATAATGAATAAATTATAAAATATGAACGATTTATATTATCAAAATTGAGCCTAAAAATAAACCCAAAAATCTACAAGGATAGACGCAAGTACAAGAGCAGCAAGGAGAGGATCCTCATTTGATTGTCACCCCTAACGACAATTCCAAACTGGCAGTCAAACAGTTTACTATCAAGCACTCGCCCTTGGACTCGGTCGAGCAAAAGCAAATGAATAGAATCAAACATACCTTCATGATTCCGACGACGGTTCCACTGTAATCAGGGAAGTTGTGAACGGCAGTGACCACGTTGGCCGTGTTGAAGAACGTCTGAGCGTGCGCCGCCATCAACATGAAGCAACACATCGCCGGGAGCGGCGGCCGGTAAATGACTCCGACCACCGTGAGCCAGATAAGGAAGTAGCCCGCGAAGCACTGAATCGCTCCCGCCACGTGGACCACCCATGGCCCGGCCCGAAACCACGGCCACCGGCCTCTGCCGCGGTGGAGCGTGACAGCGGAGTAGAGGAGGCCGGAGAGGATGCCGACGTTGGCGCCGATGTCCTTGAAGGCGGACACGATGTCGAGCGTTGATTGGTCGTAGCCTTGGGTGGATTTGAGGATGGAGGAGTAGATGGCGAAGCCGTATGATGAGCCGCCGGTGCACTGGATCCATATGCTCGCTACTGCGGCTATCCATTTACTGTTCTCCATTTTTTGTTGTTGTTTTGTTTTCTTATTCTCTCAGTGTTCTCTCACTTCTGCAAATTCATATTTTCAGAGAACATATCTAACAGATACAGATATATCTATATCTACCTTTATACTATTATTAGAAGTGAATACCTCACTGGTATCTATGAATTTCCTTATTTCTTTTTGTCAAGTCACATTCTCTTTTTATGTTAAGGGTCGGTTTGGGATGTTTTAAAATAGTGTATTTTTTAATTTTTTGGCTTATATAAGTTGGGTTTGGATTGTGTTTGATGTAATGTGTTAGAGAGGTGATGTGATTTAAATAAGATGATGTGATTTAAATATGATAGTGACTTTTTGTATTATTTAATTTATGCCAAACCAACCCTAAGTGTCAATTTCTTCATAAAGAAGGTTCGGTTCTTATGTTAAATGTCAATTTTTTCAAGAAAAAGGAAAAAAAAAAAAATAATGGTTAAAAGAGAGACAATATTTGAATTTAAGGCGATTTACTTAACTTACTAAATAATACCATTTAAACAAAATAAAAAATATGTTATGAATTCAAAATTAAAATTTATAATTTAACTACACTCAGGGAGTGGACTCCACAATATACTATTGTGTGTCATATTAATAAAAAATATAAGAAACAAAAACATGACAAAAAATATATCTATAGGGGTGCTTTGGCAAGGAGGTAAAAAGTTAGTTTTTGGCTTTTTATCTATTTTGGGTCGTATCATCTCTCATAATTTTTATCTATTAAAAGACAAAATAGACTAAAAAAATCAAAAATTAATTTTTTACTAATTTTTCAAAACACCACATAAATTAAGTAGTTGTCATTGTTTTGTGTGTACCAAAATAACTCTTTACACCCTCATTTTTTATTCAGCGTGTTTGGTTTGAATTTTCTAGATTAAGTTTTTTGAAAAGTGAATTTTTTCATTTTCATGTTTTTTTGTTTTTAATGAATATTTTTAAAATTTTAAATATTTTTTTTTTACTTTTTTAGATGAGTAAAATTTTTTGAAAAATGTTTTTAAAAAATAAAACCAGGCAATTACAATTTTATTCTTACAACAATTTATCAAAAATTCCTAAGGAAAATGCTTTGTAGCACTAAAAAAAGTCCCCCTAATCCCCCTAATTTCCTTTTTGAGAAACTGTTTTTTTTTTTTTTTTCTATCTTCTTTTTTACTTTTTAAGTGTATTTATGTTAGGTGTGTCTAAAAAGTAAAAAAATTACTTAAAATATTAAAAAAAATTCACTAAAAACAAAAAAATGCGAAAAATAAGAAAGTAAAATTTTTTGAAAAATGTTTTTTAAAAATAAAACCAAGCAATTACAATTTTATTCTTACAACAATTTATCAAAAATTCCTAAAATCCTAAAATCCCAAAAAGATTCCTCAACCCACCCAATTAATTCATCGTTACCCTCAATCACGAAAACGTACCATTACTGTTGCTGTTGTCGCTGACTCAATCTTTGGCAAGCCCTTACTCAACTGGTGACCACTGTGAATGCCATCTACTGTGACCCGCCTCTCAAGCCCCTTTTCCAATGGTGACCTGTCACAACAACTCCCGTGATCCCACCGCTATGATTTTAGGGTTCTAGATTTAAAAGAAAAAGAAGATGAAAAAGAAAATTTCTCTCTTGTTTATCTAAATAAAAAGGATAGAAATCACAATTTTTTAAAAAGTTTTTCTCTCTTAGCTTAGAGTATCTCCATCAAACTAGTTATTTTTACTTTTTTTTTAATTAAAATAGTGATTAAATTATTAAATTTCAACTCCATCAAAATAGCTAATATTTTAGTTTTAGTGAATTTAGCTCAACAAATGTAGCTAGTGATTTGAACTTGTAATGTCCTGAAATAATAACAACAACCCATAGTATAATATTTTGTAGAATGTGTAATTTGCGATATATTTAACTTTTCATTAATACTCCTCAATCATATAAAAGATGATATATGCGTGTATACATTCATAACTCTTAGATCTTGAATTTATAGCATATGACATGTGTAAATGAATTGAAATAAAAGGAGATACAAATAAGTTTAGGCCTTAATGGCTACATCATTCCAAGTTATTACTTGGGTATAACAAAAGTAAATTCAACTCAATACAGTTAAAGGCCATGGCTTACACAAAAATAATTACACCAAAAGAAATAAAAGAAACTTTTGGCTCCAAGTCCTCCCGGGCTATGTCCTTAGTAGTGGCATATCATTAGCACTTGAAAGTTGTTTTCCATGTAAGGTGAGTTAAAGTTCAGTACAAATACTCAAACACAACGTATGAAGCTTAACGAAATTATATAGTAAATGCAATGCAATGCCATGCCATTTTTCCAAAACATCATACGTCATTTTTTTCAAAACAATGCCATGTATCAATAGTTTATGATTCAATTCAATAAACAATACTTTTCCAATTAGAAAACAGGGCAATGGATACAAAATACTGAGAATCTCTAAGTACGTGTCTACTAGTAGGGTATACGAGCACTACCAAATCCATTTTATCAGTACTAACCGGAAGGATCGTCACTTAACCACACAGGTTTTTGGACTTTCACTAAGGACACACAAGCTAACATAATAACCACAACCACACCCCCTAACTAGATTCACCAAGATATACACTCTTTTTTCTCAAAATAATACATTTTCAATGTTTAAATATGAAACAATTGTCAATGCAAGATGTATGAGTGATTAGTTTTAATTCACTTAATCCTCATGCAACTTTTACAACAATCAAAACTATTCTCCACCGATAGTTCAAAACAGATATTTTTACTCACAACAGATAATTTTTCAACAACAGATATAATCTCATCATGTTTCAAAATGGGAGTAGTACATATATCCAACTACATCCTCATTATCAACATATACATTCATTTCATCCTTTCAAAAACCCAAAATCATTCATTTCTTTTTCCTAAATCAAACATTTATGATTTTCAAATCAAATCCCTTTTTTCTTTCAAAAACACTTCTAAAGAAGGGATTTTCAACATTTCAACATAACTTAACAATAAACACACCCTCATAACCTTTCTCAAGAACCCATTTGAAATTTTCTCTTTTATATTTTAAAATCAAAACCCTAAATCAAAATCCACATTTTTTAAATCTCAATACCTGACAATGAACACATAACTAAGTTATGAATTATATTAGAAGGTTGAAGAAATCCCTACCTTAAGATTAAAAGGAGAAGAGAGCAAGGTTTGAAGTTTTGCGAAGCCCAAAACTATATCCTCTTCGATTAAAAAAAACTTTCTACGAGTTCTACCTTTTTCTCCAAAGAACTAGGGTGGAAAAATCAATGAAGTAGGAGTATTTGAGATTATAAAGCAAGAACTAGAGAGAGAGAGAGAGAGAGAGTGAAGAAATTAGGGTTTGAAGTATTTTAGAGAGAGTAAGTGAAAAAGTCACAAAATTTCATTTTTCCCGATCTGATATACGCATAGACCACTCGACAGACCAAAACACCGCTCGAGCGTCAGATACAATAAGTGATACCGCTCGAGCGACCAAAAACATTACTTGAGAGCACAATGACCCCCTTCAAGAAGTTGGACCTGCAAAAGACCGCTATAGCCCAAGAAATACTGCTCGAGCGAATATCACCATTCTCCCAAAAGTTTTGCAGAGTTGCAAAAATATTAGAAGATCTCAAAAACCGTTCGAGCGGACCCAAAGTGAAACAGACAGCAACTCTGATGAAAAACTATCTCTCAACCTGTTTTAATCATAACTCATAATCTCAAACAACCAAATTCAACTAACAATAAGAGTAAGATGTTATTAACAACAATTAAATATATGGAATCTTGGATTTAAGAACATGAAAAGGGTTGGGTCTAAATCGAAACCATTATAGAACTAGTAAAACATTACAAAATATTACTTTTAATATTTTGGAATTAGTTGTAGTTAGTTTATAAAAAATCATTTTAAATTAAATTAATAAAAATATTGTTTAAATAGTATGGTGAAAAGATCGAGAATTTCTTGGAGATGGATTTAGAAAGCATCAATGGTTGGTGGCCCGAAATTCAGTGGCTCGACGTCGTTTTGACAGTTTCGAGCCATTTGAACCACTGATTTTGTAGCCCTCAAACATTTTTCTTTAGAAAGTGTATAATGAGAATAAAAAAGCAACTTTTTAATTAAAATATAATAAAATTTTAACTGATTTGATGAAAATCCTTTTACATAATATATATATTTTTATTTCCTAATTACTTAACACAGGCCAACTTATGAAGAATGATACGGAGACAGACACAGTAGAGGGGACACACGGATTGATTTAACAACACTGGTGTCCCACAATTCTCATGTAATTGATTTAGCAGCATTTTTAAGGTACTGTTTATACAAGATTCGTTAGATATTTTATAAGAATTTGGAATGGTTGTTATACTTTATGCCCAGCGGTTATTATTGTGCAATTAATAGGGTCCACTTTGCATTTATTTTAATAATTTAAATTATTTATTTTTTAGAATACATTGAGTAGAATATATTTACAAAAAATCAAGTTAATTCGATATTGATAACCCTATCATCTAATCACATTTGTATTTACAAAAAATAAATAGTTAGTGTGATTTTGTGTATAAAACTGAATACAAATGTACTTAGATAAAGGAGCTGTCAATATATGATCAACTTGATTTTTCGCAAGTATATTCTACTCAATATATCCTAAAAAACGAATAGTTAGAATTATCAAAACAAAACCCAAAATGAGCTCAATTTGCCACGCAACCGTGATTGCGGTGCTTTATGCACAACCACCCATCTTCCCTATTATAATTAGTATTATCATATTTTTATTATTCAAACGGATTTACTATTACAATAGTTATTGTAAAAAAAAATTTAAAGCTATTTCGAAGAATCTTAGAAAGCTTTTAAAACAATTTATGGGTATAGATAGGTAAAATAAAGAATAGTGTTTGAGTATATAAATTTAAAAAAAAAAATTAAGCAAAATAAAGAATATACAATTTTTATATTTACCTTGTGGAAAATGAAGAATATGGTTGGAGTAGTTGGTTTAGCTTTTTTATTTACCTTGTTAGCATTGCCTTCTAAGTAATATTTTGACTTTTTAATTTTAATATGAAATGAAAAAATTAGTGTATTTGA